TTTTTTCAATATTTTTAAGTTTTTAAGACTTAATTAAGTTATTAAGGAAACTTAAAAAACTTAATTAAGTTTATATTTTATTATTATGCTGTATATTTATAAAAAATCAATATTATAATCAAATTCCATTTATATTTTATTATTATAATGTATATTTATAAAAGATCAATATTACAACCAAATTCCGTTTATATTTTATTATTATACTATATATTTATAAAAGATTAATATTACGACCAGATTCCTCAAATTTTTTAACATTAAAAATTTCACTAATTGTCAAAATATCAATAAATTCTTCATTATCATTATCTACATCTTGTACTTTACCTAATAAATCATTTGTTTCTTTTAAAATTTCTTCAGCTATATCATTCAATTCTATATCATCAGAAAAATTATATTCATCCAATTCAATTCTCTCTTGTACAATAATTTCTTGAAATTCTATTATTTTTTCATTTTGTTCTTGTTTTAAACGTTCTTGTTTCAAATGCCATGAAATTTTTGCTAATTTACCAGATCTTTCAGCCGTTAGTCGATTTCGTTTTGCTGTATGAATATTAGATAATACTGACCAAATTCTTTCAGATACTGCAGCATTAGGTATTATTGCAAAAAGTCGTTGTGCAAATACACTTAATTCAGGATATATTTCTTCTATACTTTGCCAAAATTTCATAGGATTATTTATAAATATTGGCGCCCAAAGAGATTGTTTACTAAAAATTCCTGTTTTGTTTCGATAAGCTAACCATCCTTCTAAAAATGCATTAACATTATAATGAGGATAAAGTTTTTTGAATAACTGATAAGCCATTTCTTGTATATCTAATGCTACACCATACATAAGATAATTAGGATCATTTGATGGATGTAAAGTCCATGAAACAATAAATGCAGGATCATAAATTTTTTGCCATCGATTATTTAATTTGTTTCGAAGAAAGGTCTTTACTTCTAATAAAGGTGGTGAAAGATTTTCAAGAATTCCAGCAAGCCAAGCCCAAGAAGTTGTTATTTGAGCCAATGTCATATTATCAGATTCAAATAGCTTTGTCATACAATCATAAGGACGTATAATTTGATAAAATATTTCAAGTCGTGTCCAAAAATCCGAATCTTCAATTATAGTAATAATTGTAGAATTTTTTTTTCCTTTTCCTGACATTAAAAGAGATTTATTTTGAATAGCCATAATCTATTAAATTAAATATAAATTAAATAAGTTAAATTTTCTTAAATAAATAATCATTTATTTAATAAATACCTTTAAATAATCCTTCATAGTTATTACTTGTGATGCTGATACTGCGAAAGTAGCCCAACGCGTTAAAGTCGGATATTGCATTTTAAAAGTTGGCCTATCAGAAAGTTGACGGAGTTTATGAATTGCCAAATTAGCAATACGAAAATGACCAATAATTATAAGCATTTGTTTAATTATTGGTTTAAAATATGCAAATTCAATTATATCTTTAGCTAATAAATTTCCTTGATGTGCCATGCAAGGTAAGCATAAAACACGCCCTTGAATTTCAGGATCCTAAATTAAATAAAATATAAGATTTAAATTTTATTAAATATAATAAATAAAATATATAAAATATATACATACAGAATTCATTAGTCGTCTAGCTTTAGCATAATTTCCACCACTATCTGTAACAAATCCAGCCCATTTTTCAAGTCCAATTTCCATACCAACTTCTTTATAATCCATATAAACATTTTCGCCTAAATGTTGTTGATTTGATTTGTTTTCTATTTTATATAATTCACTTTGTCGATTTTCATTAACTAATACGTAATTCACAATATTATTACGCATTTGACTAGTCCACCCATCTCCAGAAAGAGTTATAAAACGTGAATTAGTTATAAAATTCTGAATTTCAATTACAACATCATTATTCAAATCCTCAATTATATCTGTACTAAGCCATTTTCGGGATGGTAATTTAAAATATGAATTAAACAAAGCAAATAGTTTCTTAACTTCAGGATCATCAACAAACGAAAAAGGTAAATTAGCTGAAGCAACTGCACGACCAATTTGTTTGTAAATTGCTTTTTTTCTATGTGTTGAAAATGGTTTATCTGCATAATTGTCTATTGATGATTGAATTAAATTTGCTTCCGATTGTATTTGTTGTAATCGTAATGGTGTTATTACAGGTATATTAGTAATTGAAGGAGTAGATGATGACTGCTGTTTGTTTTTTTTGTTTGCTTCTTTATTATTTTTTTTAATCTCTTGAAAAGCTTCTTTAATATCATTACCAGCATCTTCACATTCACAAAGATGATTAACCATTTGTTCTGAAACGCCAAGAATATTTTTTCCACAATAATTACAAATAGCTGCTTTATGCGAAGTATTTCTTTTAGGTCCTTCTTCAAAATGGTCCCAAATTTTATTTGAACGTCAACCTCGTTTATTACTCATTTTTTTTTTTAAAAAAAAAGAAGTTTGAAGAATGACGATAGTAAAGGTAAAAAAATTTGGTAAGGATAAAGGCCAACATTATAAAAAAAGAAGACTTTAAACCTCTATATAAGAGATTTTTGCAGGTTTGAATTAGAAAAATCGGACAAAATACCACGAGAAAATTATCTCCATTTAGTGCTTATTTGAAATTTATTCAAATATATTAAAATTATATGAATGCTGGAGTCGTTAAATGGTTCTAATGCTTAAAACTATTAATCCTACATGATTTGGTATTTAGAACGTTAAAAAAAATCGTAAAAAAAAATTTTTTTATATCATTATAAAGTATTATGTAACACGAATATTACGTTTATTTTGAACACAAAAAAGCAGTGAAATTTTATTAATTTAGTTAGACCCGATAGCCTTAACAAAAGTTTTGTTACACAATATGTGATACAATATTAGGTCGACTTAATAAGTGTAATTTTTGAAAATCTTTTTTAAGATCCT